CCATTTCAAAACACGGGTAAAATAGTAGTTGTGGTGATAAGCCTCACTGATTACTGTAAGCTCACCCTAGGGAACACCGATAGTGAAGCGGGATACTTCCCTAACGTCTACCTTGGTGTACGTGTCTTCATGGATTTGACAACATGTAACACTAGGGACACACAGGCAAGTTCAAAGCTCACGATTACATGTTTGAAGATCATAATGCAAGGAACTTTACACCAGACAATTGGAGTTGCTCTTGGGGTTGTAGCACCCCTTTGGTGACCAACTGCCACAGAACCCGAAGGAAGCACGAGGGCTGGGATACTGCCAGATGGCCCAAGCCTAGACAGAAGAAGTCGAGATGCAGAGGTCGGCTTCGAACCACGGACCTTCTGGTCTGCAAACTCACGCTCTAACCACTGAACCATCTGGCCACTCACCTGCTTTATAGTAGGGACTATATAGAACATACGGATCTAGTTTAGTGCACCTCACATCTAAGCACCTCAGTGTGGCCTCATCGATGACTGTTATCCCAAACGGGTCGGTAATTTGTGATACTAAGCACTTCACCAGCATGCGTCGACTGAACTTACAACCGAGATGGACGGCTGGATCCGGATGAAGCACTTGGAAAGTCGCACACATTTGCGTTGAAAAATTACACTTTGGTTGGTACTTTCAAGGCGCAAGCGATCCAGAAGGGTAAACAGACTGAGCTCAAGGAATAACAACTACCATCAGCTTTACGTTACATGGTCGGTGGATGGCAGTTCGAGTTGGTATAGTTTCGTCTGCCCAAGGCAATCACCAACGCAGGCCTTCGACTGGCCCCTTAGCTCGTTTTGTCCAGAAGCACGAGGCTACTCAGATAAATCGGGTTACTGGCAGGCGGAGCGTGTGACGAAGCCATCGCAATCTATGGGGTGTCATCAGCTTACTCACCATACAAAAGGTAATTTCCGTGAAAACACGGTGCATCTGAGTACTACGGCTTCGACGTTTCTAGGTTAACTAGACAACGCTCCAAAGACACAAATGATGAAACGTGAAGAGTTCCCTTGTAAACGTCGGGTTTCGGCCAAAGTCACAGTATAGAACGCAACATAGTATTGCAAACCTGACCACTGACAGACAATCTGATGGTACATTCACACTATGGTTGCTGAAGAACTCAGCTACTTTTGTCTATTGTTAGTTGAATCTTCTGGATTCCTGCATATGCTCAGTTAAACGAACTCGTCTTCCACTTCAAAGCATGACGTTCTGGTTTGAACATATCCAGTCTTGAAGCAGTGCGACAGTGAATAGCAAGGGAGCGTAAACGTCCGGTTAGCATTCGCGAGGCGGCACACCGGCAGAGAGTAAGAACATTTTAGTCATCAGTATACACGTTGGGCACGTGGGAAAATGACCACACGCAACTCACCGCCGCCCAACATTCAACTCTAGCCTGGTATCTGAGAGGAGCTCCTTTCCATGGAAAGTAACCGTCAAATTGGTGAACTGTGTGTCACGAGCTTCTGGATGTGATGCCAATACGGAGGTCACAGAACGATGCTGAGCCGGTCGCTGACACACCGGCAGAGAGTAAGAACATTTTAGTCATCAGTATACACGTTGGGCACGTGGGAAAATGACCACACGCAACTCACCGCCGCCCAACATTCAACTCTAGCCTGGTATCTGAGAGGAGCTCCTTTCCATGGAAAGTAACCGTCAAATTGGTGAACTGTGTGTCACGAGCTTCTGGATGTGATGCCAATACGGAGGTCACAGAACGATGCTGAGCAACACGGTCGCTGATTAGGTCTAAACATTCCAGGGTCTCAACAAGGGATTTATGGACTGCTTCATCTTCGTCATCACTACCTGTAGAAAGCAAAGAAACATGGAATAAGGGTTGAATGGGTGATTTGAATCAGTATCACATCTACAGGTGGCGTTCAGTGGCCACATAAAGTTCCAGAGAAAAAATGGTAAATCACTCATCTGAATCTTCTGGATTCCTGCATATGCTCAGTTAAACGAACTCGTCTTCCACTTCAAAGCATGACGTTCTGGTTTGAACATATCCAGTCTTGAAGCAGTGCGACAGTGAATAGCAAGGGAGCGTAAACGTCCGGTTAGCATTCGCGAGGCGGCACACCGGCAGAGAGTAAGAACATTTTAGTCATCAGTATACACGTTGGGCACGTGGGAAAATGACCACACGCAACTCACCGCCGCCCAACATTCAACTCTAGCCTGGTATCTGAGAGGAGCTCCTTTCCATGGAAAGTAACCGTCAAATTGGTGAACTGTGTGTCACGAGCTTCTGGATGTGATGCCAATACGGAGGTCACAGAACGATGCTGAGCAACACGGTCGCTGATTAGGTCTAAACATTCCAGGGTCTCAACAAGGGATTTATGGACTGCTTCATCTTCGTCATCACTACCTGTAGAAAGCAAAGAAACATGGAATAAGGGTTGAATGGGTGATTTGAATCAGTATCACATCTACAGGTGGCGTTCAGTGGCCACATAAAGTTCCAGAGAAAAAATGGTAAATCACCTGTAGGTAGCACCCTTCTGATGCCTAACTGCCATGCCACCCGAAGAAAGCAGGTGAACTGGGATACCGCCAGTTTACCCAAGCCTAGATAAAGGAAGTCGAAATGCAGAGGTCGACCCATGGACCTTGTAGTCAGTAAATTCGAGCTCTAACCACCGAGCCACCTCTTCTCCCATAGGCTCCTCAATTTAAAAAAGCCATCAGCAAAACCCCATGATCAGGTTAATTAGGCAGTACAGTAACTGAAGCTTCAAAAGGGGCACACAATCAGCATGTAGTTCTCAAATGGCTTAAAGGAGATTCACAGACATTCAAGCAGTATAACGCAATAGATTGGTCATGGATACAGTCGATGGATCATTCCATGACAGCGAATCCGAAACAATACATCTTCACCAACATCTTGACATCTTTACAACATCTACACCGTCTCGACCAAATATAACTTTTCCAAGACCATGAGGAAGTTCAGTGCGAGGTGTTATGATCATGTTCCAGAAAAAGCCTTCAAAGTAAGGAACACGTTAGAAAAACTACAGAACTAGTAGCAGGACATAAAATCATCAGATAATAAGCGGCTACTGGGTGAGAACTCTACGAGGATGCTCCGAAATGCCACACAAAATGAAAGGGAGACCTTACCAACAAAGTCGTCATCACGTACACTGGTCGTGCGTTGCCGACCGGGAACCTCATCTTCGGTGTGAGATGCTGCAGTTTCTTCGGTCTGACCATCTTCGTCGGTCCCATTTGCAAGATCCCCAGCTGTTGCGGCACCTGCCGAACGGGCAGGCTTTTTCTGATTGCGACGTTTCTCCGCCTCTTTCTTCGCCAAAGCCTTCTTTTTCTTATCAGCCGACGGCATGATGCTGGAACAGATAGCATAAAAGTATGCTCATGTACTGGGAAAGAAAAATTTTCGAGTGACAAATTATGACATGACCGACGTCTGGCTGCTGAAGGACGCAATTCAAAATTTCAAGTGCTGTCGCCCATCCAGTATTTGTGGATGTTGTCAATTGCTGGTCTTGATTAGAAACACAACAGGAAGTTACTGGAACACGATGGCGAAAGTGTTCTTGATGAAAAACAGTGGTGCAGAGTAGCCACCATGGATACTCATACAGATATTTTCAGCTGAAGGTTCGGTCAATGCATTCTCGGCTGAGTAAAATCAGATGACTCACGCGAAATTCTCCACTGCGGGATTATGCTACAGGCACAAGGGTGACTTCGTAGTGATAATCGCACAATGTTGTGTGAACAGCATAATCACTGTCAAAGTGCCTCATCATTCCGATGTTGTTTTCGTTCGAATTTGTGGTAAGATCGTCAAACTTCTATGCGCGGGATTTCCGACCTTTTAGGGGTGCAGGGTGTTATATACTGACGTGGTGTTTAACTTTGTTACTCGCTATTCGTTGAGCTGATTGTGTTTCCTAATGTTTTAGCTGATGTACTGAAATTGATAGAAGATTAAAGCCAATCATTCGGCAATCCTCGTTCTCTGTTTCTGGCACAATCATTCGAGTGCGCAACAATTTAATCTTCTATCAAAACACAATGGAACGATTGTTTCGCCCAGATCGGTTTGACGCCGATCCCCAATCCTCTTCTGCTTCAGAACAATGGATCCATTGGCACGAAACGTTTACGAACTTCCTCTCATGCATCGAACTCCCAAACGTTGACAAAAGAAAACTTTTGGTAAATTTCCTTTCTCCGTCCGTCTATCAACATGTTTGTGATCGTACTACTTACGAAGACGCCATCCAGACGCTCGAAAAGATGTACATTAAACCCAAAAATGAAGTGTTTTCCCGTCACGTGCTGGCTACTACCAAACAAGAACCGGGCCAATTAGTCGACGCGTTCCTGCAAAAATTACGTTACCTTGCCAAGGACTGCAATTTTCGTGCGGTTTCTGCCGATGAACATCGGGATGAGGCTATTCGAGACGATTTTATCACAGGCTTGCAATCTAATTCCGTTCGCCAACGACTACTAGAAAAACACTCTTAAGCTTCAACAAGCCTTTGACGAGGCACGTCTGCTTGAACATGCTCAACAACAGTCACTCTCATACGACTCGTCTTCTCATGTTCCCTGTGGCGCCGCATCTATCAAAACTGATAAACCTCTTACTCCTGTTCGTGATGCTTTTATCTCTCAGATGGAATCTAGTGACACGATTGCAAGCACATCCTTATCTTGCTTCTTCTGTGTCAACGGTAAGTACATTCGTTCTGCCCGCCCGGCTCGTGAGTCTTTCTGTCATTCTTGCGGCAACCTTTTAGGGGTGCACGGTACATGTCATCCGGCTTGGGTATCTTATTGCATTTAGGGAAGACATCTCGATTTGCATTAATGGCGAGAATTGGCGTCAACGTCCTATTCAGGTTCACTGAATACAGCCAGTCTGTGCTGAGGAGGGTAAGCTAAATCGCTCTTCTAACTGATCGACATATCAGACATTATGCAAATGCTTCCACCAGCCACGCAAGCCGTTTCATCAACATTCGTTCTATTCTGGGCCCGTTGGTCGAATCGGCTGAAATATGGAACGGCTGTTCTCACGTAATAGATGCCTCTTCCGTTCCCTGCAGCAACCTGAAGCAAGCGAAGCGACCCAACCAACGGCAATAGGTGACGGTCACTGTGACCTGTGGGAATTTTCGGCAATGTTGGAAACGGTTGTACTCAGGGGTTCAACACGTAGACAGGAGGGAGATTATGGTCCCTAACCAAGGTCTTCGGTTTAAAAGCCTGAACGCAGAAGAGCGCGTGGGTGCCTGCACACTATCACAATGGTACAAGTCTTCAAGGACCGAGTCTCTGTGCATATGCAAACCACCAAACCGGAGAAGCAGGGAACTGCTCATTAAAACCTCCAACATCTGAGCAACCTGGCATGGAAGACGGTTGGCATCAAAGAACAATCCCCAGGACAGCTCAATCATCATCACCATCACCTGATATCAGTGTTCAACACTAAGGCCTCGCTGCGGTACAATCATGATATAGTTGAGAGCAGTATTGTGAAGAAAGTAAAAAGCAGATGGCGAGGTAACTAAGTGCCGTTTTGGAAGGTATGCACCTCCAGCGACTCACTCATGCAGTAAAGACAGATAGTGACAACAACGTCACTGAGGCTGATTGGCAGCCATATATTAGAGCGTCTCCAACCACTCATAGGGGAAATCAGATGGACCCAAACCTGTAGGGTAAGTGCCCGGACTTTTCATAGTCTTTTGCATACCCCTCTGCCAGACCAAAGACTGGCAACTTCTCTGATTGCACCACTCTGCACGGTCAACAACACTGTTACCGGCAAACGACGGCATGTGCAACAACCACGTTTGGTGCTGGGCATATTCTTTAACTGAAATCACAACCCAACACTTGTTTTGTAAGCGCCTCATTGCGGTCTCGCTGATAGCAGCCTAAACAAGCTATGGTTCCGAGACAATCGTTGTCGAAGACCTGAAGACATCTCGGAGGCCATGTCCCGCAGCCATACAAAAATAAAGTTCGTAACACGGCCTGACACACACGTCTATTGGTATTCAGGGTGTTTCGAGCAGCGGAACTGAGACAACTTCGACAATCACCGCTCGTGTGAGTTGGTGTCGGCGAACCTAATACGAGGCTATTAGAAACCGTTGTTTTGTGTGCAACCGGACTTCCATTTCTTAATGTGCCCGGCACCAGGAGCTGCATTTGTTAGGCCGTGTATTGCGTACGCTGGATCTTTGCCGTAGAGAGTACTGCTTTCCGTGCCCAATTCAGTGGCCGAAGCAGAAAGGTAGTCAGTCTTTGACCTGGTAGACATGTACGAAAGTGTTGTTGGTGCGAATCGCCTGCCTAAATGGGTACCGCGCCTGGTTGAAGACGCTGGGTGTTAATTGATGTCCCTGGCCTACTTGTTGTTAATTTCTATCCAGATTGTCTGAATGTGTCTGGAGGTTTAGGCACCTCGGAATCATCGTCATAAACTAGCCCTAAGTCTCTTCCCAGCCCACCACTTTTTCCACGACAAGTCTTTCGCGCGAGTCATGTTCATACGTCAGCGAAGCACCAGTGCTAAACAATGGTGTCATGCCGTTGTTTTTGATGATGACGAGAACCTGAGATCGTGAATATTTGGTAAACGCAAACCCTACCAAACCGGAATTCCGCTCGCTGCTGAGTAAACACTTCGCGGGCGACTAAGGGCAAGTGATGTCAAGGGTCTTTTCAATATTGAAATGAACTCAATCCTTCTGTGATCAACGTATTCACCAGGAACCCCTTTTTGAAGGCAGGCACTATTACCGATCCTCTCCAGTTGTCTGGTGCAGTTTCTTGCCCCCAACTGGGAACTAGATGGGACACGCGCTGAAGACCTCACTTCTATCCTTGAACAATTGGGCGGGTGGCCATGGCAGACGTGCAGCCCCGAGGCTGCAGGGTGTCCAAGACTCACCGTCCAGGGTTCTGGTGCAGTTCGAGAACCCGACTGAGCAGTGAGGTGACCATGAATACTGTCTCTCAGATAGTTCGACAGATCCTGCAGGTAAGCAAGCCTGAATTCTTTATTAAAGTCTGGTCTCTAAGCCAGTTCAGTCTGTTTAGAGCGTTTGCATAAGTTACAGTTGGAGACCAACAACCAAAGAGTGTCGTTTTGTGCTCATGAGGTTTCCTTCGACTTTCTTTCCTCATAAATTACCGTGAATTTATGTCCCCGGATAATTACTGTACTGCGATGATTCCAATAAGCGCATGCACACAGCACATATTATGGATTAGAAGCAGTCTCCCGGCCTCCTATGGGAATGAGGGCCTTCAGCCTGGAGCGCAGCCTTTGTGATGTAGTAAACAGCGCTCACCGTTCCGATTGGTTTTAAAGTCTGGGTGGTTTATAAGCTACCCCCGATGCCTAAGCGTGATGCCCGGAGTCACGCCGACCAGCCGTGATTATGGCGACCCGCCACAAACAAAAAAAAGCTGTGTTCTGATTGGTGAGAATATTGGTTGGTCAGAAGCCAGCGCTGTCAGCCCCTCGTACCGTCATGCCTGGAATGACCTTGAGAGAAATACTGTGATTACTCTATAACTACGACAATAAGCTGCTTTCTTGGTTTCTATTAGAGGTGGCTTCAAGTTAAGGACCTGCCATTCCATAATAGGTGGAGAAGCGCGCAGAGCGTTGCATAAACCGAGGTTTTTGCAAAATACATTTGCGTTCTCGAAAACCATTATTTGCACAAGGTTCCCACTTCGTTTTGAAAAATGTCTATATCTAATGAAATGTGCTGCTAATTAACCACACAGATGGTTTGTTTAAGTTAGCGAGTCATCAAGGACGTCAATCATCGCTGATTTGGAAAACAGCGCTTAGTGCAGCAAGATATGGCCGCATCATAGACGCACACCCAAAATTTCTGTGAAACCGCAGTTCGAAAACGAAAATCTTTAACGTGGTGTTTAAGCATTTGATGGTAATTATCCGGGTCCTTAAGCTCTCCCATCGCAACCGCAGTTTTGTTAGAAGTTGTTTAATCGAACTCAGACTACGTTTTGGGTGCGGAATTTGTATGTCTTGTGACCATGCTCTTCAAAAAGAAATGGTAAAATGATAAAAATATTTTGGATATATAATGAACTACGGGCAAGCCATCAGTGTGGTTGTATTAGTAGTGGTACCCTTGTCGCGACGCCGTTATTCGGTTCGTGGATAGTCCCGTACATAAACATCTTGGATGAGCCGCTTATGGTTGTCATCATAGTTAGGATATTCTTGGGTCTATCGAGGGTTCGTGGTGGTTCATTGCTGTCATTCAAGCGAGGTAATAAGAAAGCCATCCCTAGATTTGGGACTCAAAA